TATCCATCATATTTTAATTTTCAAGATATTTTAATTTTCTTTAATCTTATATAGAATCAACTTAAATTACAAAACTTGTAAAATTACAATAATCAAACCTACATATTTTATTAAAAATGAGAGATTTTAAATTTAAATTATTTTTCATTATGCATTTTAACATTTTCTTTTAAAAAAAAAAAGGCAATCTTAAGGTTGTATAACTTTTTGCATGGTGGCTCTGTTGTTTTTTTTTTGTGTGGCTGGTTGGGTAAAGAAAACATAGAGAAACAGCTCTGAGCTAGTGTCACACGTCTACACTGATGCTTTCCAATTCAGTAATTTATCAAGAAAAAAGGGCAAAGATTTATGAGATAACATTATCAGGAAAATTTTGACCAATGAGCAGATTGCAGATTCAACGGTACAAACAATTACCAAATTGCATACAAATTATATGTAACTTGCATAACTTGAATTAAACCTACATGCAACAGAACAAACCTCACTGATTCTTCTCTAAACAATTTCTTTAATGCACTCATTAGCCTCTTAGCAGAATCCCCAAGGAAAAACACAAGATGTGAGGGGGAAGCAGTAATCAGCAAGTTTCAAGCACAGAATGTGTAATCCATTACTAGAAGCAAGTGCTCCCTTACTAAGAATGAAAATACAGATTACAAGCCTAAGATCAGCCAAACTTTCAAGACACTGGTAAGTACACACTGTCTCTCTTTTGATTTCTCAATCATTTTCTTTCATGTAAAGACCGGCGGCTAAAAGAAAATTTTAAAACAACTACTTCTTGAACAAACCAGCAAGCTCACCCTTCTCATACATGGAGGTTAGGATATCACACCCTCCCACCAGTTCACCATTTACAAAAATTTGCGGGAATGTAGGCCAGTTACTGTATTTCTTCAGTGTCTCCCTCAATCCAAAATTATATTCTTCATCGAGCACGTCTATGCTCTCATAATCCACCCCTTCACTTTCAAGAATGCCAATCACTCTTTGTGAGAATCCACACAGTGGGGCACTTCGTGACCCCTTGATAAAGGCCACCACCTTGTTCTCCTTCACCAACTTATCAATGAGTTCCTCCAAAGGAACTGTAAGTTGGACATGGTGGCCAGGGGTAAGGCGAAGATCAGGTTTCTTTTTTGAAGGCTGCCTAATCCAGGTAGCATTTCCTGGTTCATTACCTGGAGGGACCTTTCCTGTGGCTTTTATATGTTCTTCCATCCATGATTTCCAAGCTTGGGTTAGAGCTGCCCTATCAGGATCACTCACCACCCCAACCTGTAGAATAACCAAAATAATAAGATCGCCAACAAACAAGTACTAACATTTTCAAGTGTTTTGACATATATGATGTGAAATCACAGTTGTCATGTTAAATCTTTGATTGACCAGCATCTGCAATCCACTTAGATTTCTAAAATCCATATACTCTCTTTTTATTTTCTAAGAGGAAAAGATTTGGACAAGATTACTCAGCTTAATGCTGACTAAAGAGTAAAGAAAACCTCAGCTTAAATGTCAATCCACCCTAACAATCAAATTCATGACATTGAATGATAATATGCCAATGCTGTCATATCAATTCAACATCACAACCCCCAACTTGTAAAAGAATGGCAATTTTGTTTAAAAATCCAATTCCACTCCGAAAAGGATAGAACTGTGAGAGAACCAGAGACTTCACCAAGCCTACATAGCTTGACCAACCAACCAACCATCATAAACAATAGCAGATATACTCAAAAGTCTACATTGTTATTGTCTCTGTTAGACCTTTTGTCAACAAATATAATTGATAAACCATCTAACTAATTAATAATCTAAAGGCATACTCTTTCCACAAATAATTTGACCCCATAAATGATCTTTGCTTCCAATAAAAGAAACAAATCAACAACTATAACCTTCCTCATGATTAGATTCTTGCAGGGAACTAACAAGAATTAACATCTTAACCTCAATGTGTCCCTGAAATCAACCTTTGGCACATCCTTAGAAAATGCTCAAATTATCTACAACTTGTTTAATCAGTACTTTCCATCAAGTTGTAATTTTTTTTCAAAACCTCTCATCAAACTGTAGTGAAATTCAAGCATCATTGCAGTTAAAACATCATCATATCTAAATTATGGCTTCCGGTTATTGGAAATTTGCTTCTTACCTTCTGAATTAACAACTTGTAATTGCATTCATTTACACATAAAATATCTAACCCAATTTCAAACAATAAATCAGGAATAACTAAAACAGTAAAAGTCCAAATTATTGTGTTCTACTTCGTAGGAAAGCAGGAATTTACATCTGAAATTTTGGAAAAACATACCTTAACAGAGCAGCAAAGTTCCGGCACCGATTTCAGGTGAGCAGAAAGGCTCGCAGCGATGTTGCGCGAGATACCGATGAACTGAAGCTCGTCGTTTTTGTCGAAAATGGCATAAACGCCGGAATCAGACGGAAGCTTCCCCGAGACTTCCTCAGGCACGACCGGCACCGGAACTAGCTCGGTCTCCGAAAGGTTCTTGAGAGCCGAAGCGGTGATTAAGCAACGATGTTTGATGGTATTGTTCCGATGCTTTAGAGAAACTGAAAGTGAAGAGTGAGAAGGGCTAAAGTGAGAATAGAAAGAGAGAGTGGGGGCATTTCGGGAAGAAGACGAAGAGCTCAGGCAACGGCAAGAGAAGGTGATTTGCGGTGGAGAGAGATTAATTGTTGCCATCTGGAGAGTTAGAGCGGACGTTGGAGAAAGACTCTGATTTTACAATTTTCTTTTCTTTTTCATTTATATATATATAGTTTAAAATTTATTAGAGTATAATTAATATATTTTTTTAATATTAATTAATATAAAAAATAACAAAATTTAATATTAATTTTATTATTAACATTATATATATTATTTTAAAAAAATAAATAAATATTAAATTTTATTTTTTTAATAATAATTAATATTTAAAAAATATTCTTAAAATTATTTTGTTAAGAAAAATAAATGGATTAAACCAACTATTCTGTGGTTGGTGTAAGTGAAATAAATTCAACTTTTTTAAATAAAATTTTAAGGTTAAATCTTATAAATGAAAAATAAACACTAAAAAATTTTTTTCTAATATGTTCTGAAATGTTTCGATTTTAAATTAATTGAGATATGACGGATATATATATATATATATAAATGTGAAACTCGGCCTGTTTGATAACGGTCTCCGATTGGCCCAGATAAGATAAGGCTTGGTTTCTTTCCTTTTGGTTTTTGGGCCGATGGAGAAGGCTTTGTTTGGCTGTTAGTTACTTAGTTAGATCCTTTCTTTTTTTAGGTTTTTGATGGTTAGTTAGAACCTCACTTTTTATTTTATGGTTAGTTAGATCCCCAAAAATTTGTTAGATAACTTGAACTTGTTTGGAAGTTCATGTGGTCAAGTCTCTCACTTTCAGGAGCTGAACTCCTTCTAAAGCAAATAGACATCACAATATCCATATGATCAAACTTTTCAAGGCAGGCATTATATTCTTTTATAAATGTAAAGACTTTAGATTTTCCAACAAGAAATGCACATTTAAATTAAGATTGTTTAGAATACCGATTAGACAATGACACTTAACCAAACTAAATTAAATCAAGTTTAAAGGCTTTTTTTTTTCCCCTTTCCTGGGGCCAAACAAAAGGTTTTTATTTTTTTTGAGGGGGGGTGATTGGTACTATTTCAAGTTCGATTTTTTAAATTGAAAATTTTTTGTTCAATTTTGATATGAAAATTTACAAATCAAAACAAATAAAAAATAAAATGTATAATATGTCACAAATTAAATAAACTAAATTAATGTTCCAGCAAGAATATAATAATATACTAACAAACAAATTTTTTAGTTTTAACCAAATTGAAAAATATGGTTTGATTTAAATCCAATTTGAGAAGTTATCAGTTTGTTTTTAATTTCAAAATATTTCAAACCAAAACTAATTAAAACCAAAAATCTAACACCCTTAAGTTTAAATAGGATTCGAGGTCGTTGTAGTTAAAGCAGATGGGAGAATACTCAAAAAAAGTATAAGTAGTTGAAGTTGGTTCCTAATCCTACCACAAGGAGGGCGAAGCGAAACCACTACCAACAAAGTGGTGGATGATTTAGAATCCTTTATTTTTGTGGCGAGTATATTTGATTTGAGAATAATAAAAGCGAATATATATATTTTTAAATTAATCAAATTATTATACTAGTTAATTTTAATTTAAGAAAAAAAAATTGAAGAACAAGTATATGTAATCGATCAAATTATAATTATTTATTATGATTGTAAATGATCAAATTATAATTCTTTTTTATGATTGCAAACCTTAAGCTTGCAAATCAAGCACTCACATCAAGAATAGGTAAAACATACGGCTCAATTTGATTTTAAAGCAATGATAGTAATTAATTAATTAAAGTAGCTATCATACAGCAATGGAGCCTGCCTCCCTTTAACAACTCGACCATCACCACCTACATCATATATTAGTTTCTGACTTTCACTTGATTAATTAGAACAAATAAATGGACGCAAAAAAAAAAAAAAAAAAAAAATTTGTATCCTTCCTCACATTTTCTAATTCCTTTCCTATTTCACCATTTTCAGTTTAATATAATAATATCCATAAGAGATTACTAATACCAAGACTTGAATTTACAGATACCTACACAATTCAAGAGTTTAAATCCTACCAGTTGAATCAATTCTCTAAATAGAATACTTCAGAACACAGAATAGAGAACTTGTTCTTACCAGCTTCGGAGAAAATACTGACCCCTGCAATGATACCAACCCAGGAGTCAAAAGGTAGGAACAGGGGATTTCTTATTTGTACACTTTGAACACACATCCTTTAATTTCCCACCTAATCAAATGTTCACAAAAACGTTCATACGAAAACAACATTACAATGTCTGAGCAATCATGTACCTTCCACAATCATACGGAGCAATATATGCCCCAGATTTGAGCCTTCCAACTCACTCCCCTCCTAACCTCCATTTTTAGCCTAAAGAAGATGTTCAAACCCCAACAGTACTTGGCTTTATCTTCACTCCTACTCAAACCCTTCCAAAAAAATAAATAAATCATACCCACGAAAAAACCCACTTTCATGACTCTCTTGCATCACCCCCTACTCTTTATCCACCTCAAACCGTCTCTTCACCGTCCAGGCTCCGAAGATGTCCCTTGCGACGCCATCTCCGGTGGCTATCATGAAGTATTACAGAGGAAAGTTGCCTCTGTCTGTTCTCACTCTCGCAGTATGCTGCCTTGCATTTTTTACTCTGTGGTATACAGAAAGAATCAGTTCTCTGTCTCCCGGCTCTGTTTTCAGGCCCAAATCCTGTGCTAGAAAAAGTCCAATTACAAAATCAAGTATGTTTTCCTTAAAAAAAAAAAAAAAAATCAACAGGAGTTTTTTTCTTTCTTTTTCTGACTACTGATTTTGAATTTTTTGGTACTGTGTTCGATTGTTGAATAGTTCATAAAACTATGAAGGAAATAGAAAATCCGGATATTGATGATAGATTCGAGTTTGATCCAGAGGAATGCAATATGGCGAAAGGAAAATGGGTGTTTAATAGTTCTATTACGCCATTATACACAGATAGAAGCTGTCCTTACGTTGACAGACAGTTTTCTTGCATTACAAATGGCCGGCCCGATTCCGACTACCGGCACTGGGAGTGGCGGCCAGATGAATGCACCTTGCCCAAGTAAGAAATATATTTGCCTTTATGCAGGATATATTCTGCATGGATTAATCTTAGTTTATGTCTAATTAAGTCTTCATGTGTAGGTTCAACCCGGAACTGGTCCTCAAAAAACTTAGAGGAAAGAGGATGCTTTTGGTCGGAGATTCACTGCAGAGAGGGCAGTGGGAATCGTTGGTCTGCATGGTCGAATGGCTAATACCTCAAGATCAGAAGTCCATGAAACGGGGCCGTCGTCATTCGGTCTTCAAGGCCAAGGTTACTTACACATACTAAACACTCAAAAAATTGTGATTGAATAATGTTAATTGGGAGAATTCTACATCCAACAGTTAAAATGAAAATTTGCAATCTTCTGAGATCATATTAGAGCCGTTTTCTGATTTAATTTTAATTTTTCAGGAATATAATGCTACGATTGAATTTTACTGGGCTCCATTTCTTGTTGAATCAAATACGGATATACATGTTCTAGAGGCAAAGGATAGAATTATCAAGGTTGATTCGGTTGAAAAGCATGCAAAAAGCTGGGTAGGGGTGGATTTTCTTGTGTTCAATACTTATGTTTGGTGGATGAGTGGCCTCACCCTCAAGACTCTGTAAGCATTTAAACTCGTGAAGCTAGAACTTGAGCTTGAAATTTCTAATTCTGCAGCAACTCAATTCGGTTTTTGAGTTATAATGCTTTTAATAATGCAGATGGGGATCTTTTACCAATGGTCAAGAAGGGTATGAAGTGCTGGACACACCAGTGGCCTACAGAGTTGGTCTGAAAACGTGGGCCAACTGGGTCGATTCCAATGTTAACCCCAACAGGACCCGGGTCTTCTTCATTACCATGTCCCCAACACACACAAGGTCTCCATCCAATTCTCTTTGTCCCTTTCTGACCTACCACCATCAAACTCAAATTCTAACAAGTAATTTTTTTGGTTGAGTAAGACAAGGAACCTTACATGGAGAAAAACCCTAATATCAGTCGCTTTCCTTTAACCCAAAGATCTTTGTTTTAAATGCTGATATAGTTTTAATTGTAAAATAATTTTTTTGCTTTTGGTTTGTTAGAATTGGGGGATTTAAACTCCTCCTAATTTTGCTTTTAAATTAAAATTTCACTTTTAATAATTACCAATTCAGTTAAACTTAGCCCTAATGCTTAGTGTAGGATCGATTTAAATCTCGAATTTAAATTTAATTGGATAAATTATGTTTGTCTCTTTGCAGGAGTGCAGACTGGGGCAACATAAACGGGACTAAATGCTTCAACGAGACGAGACCGGTGATGAAGAAGAAGTATTGGGGAACTGGTGCCAACAAGGGGATGATGAGCGTGGTGGCCAGTGTTGTGGAGAGGATGAAAGTTCCGGTGACACTTGTCAACATAACGCAGCTATCGGAGTACAGAATTGACGGGCATACATCAGTTTATACCGAGACTGGAGGCAAGCTGTTAACAGAGGAGCAAAAGGATGATCCTCGGAATGCAGATTGCATACACTGGTGCTTGCCGGGAGTGCCAGATACTTGGAATCAGATTCTTCTAGCTTCTTTGTAGTCCTGGAGATAGAAATTTTCTTTGTTGCTTCTCCAACAAGTGTTTCTCTTGTGAAGGTTATTTCTTTTGTATCTTCTAAACGCTAATTAAGTGGAATTAGCAATTTGATTCAACTATAAAAAAAAAAAAAAAATGAAAAAGTTGATTTGGCATTTGAATTTGTTAATTCATGTTAAAAGAAACTAAAAAAAAAGTTGAATTAGCCAAGTAATTTTATTTATTTATTTAGTTTTTAATTATGTTCAATGACAATACACCTTTTGTAATTTGTGTAAGGTTGCATTTGAAAATGTTACACCTAACACTTTTTCTTACAATTACAACAAAGTTCAATTCAAGACAGTACTCTCAAACTAAACTTAAATATTTAGTAGTATACTATCTAAAATAACACTTTCATTTTTTCAATTATTTTTACTTATTTAAAATTTAGAACTGAATTGAAAGTTACAATTCAAGTTGATACAAATTGTAATGCCCTTTAAGGCTTTTTTACCTTCTATCAACGGCAAGCAAAGGTAACTTGCATACAAAAGAAAGAAATGTACTCCAATTAGTAGTTAAAAAGAAAAATGCAAGCATTTCACTAAAAACAAAAAAAAAAAACTAAAACTTAAAGGAAAGAAACAAGGTCCATGATAAGGACCATGACTTGTTCCATTGATGGGTATTGGGCCCATGAGTCCAGGTCTCAGATCCAATCCAAACTCGTTGTCCACTCTAACTCAACCCTTCCTTACACGGTTACACGGTTCCCAACCTCGTATCACCGCCCACAACCTAAACTAAAATGGCCAAACTCTCCTCCTCACGCCTCTATATAAGTAGGTTCGAGATATCTGATTTATTTCGAAAAGGTTCCAGAAATTAGGTTAGCTTTGTGGCCTTCAATTTCTACTTGCTTGAATCACAATCTTAGCTTTGTTTCTTGATTACCACAGCAAACAACCATGTCGGGTGGAAATTTCATGCACAGAGTGATTTCCTATGTAGTGAACGAGGTCGTCGTTAACGGTCTCGCAAACAGGTACTAAAGCGTCAAACATTGCTGCTCCTGATTGTTGAAATTTTTTTGCTTTTTTTTTTTGTTATGCAATAAACCGTTTCAGCTTCCTGCTTGGTTGGCCGTCAGTAGTCATCGGTTATTCTCTTTAAGTGGGCCAGCCCACTTCTCTAATAGCCCAATAATTTGGCACGTCAACAAGCCCAATAAACCTATTGCGACTTTCATTAAACCTCTCTTCTTCCTCTCTGCTACCTTACATCTTCTTTCTGTTGTGTAGGGTTTATCGGTGGAAAACCAGAAAGCAAATCAAAATCAGCCATGGCGACTTCTATATTCAGAAAAGCAAATCATCTTCGAAATGCTCATCGATGCCTCCATTATCTCACTCTGAACCAATGCAGATCATCGGCTCCATTGGCAGCTCCGATTGCTCGGCTTCTTCACCATCCACCTCTTCCTTTCACGCAATCTGTCCGTCTCCTTTATCATTTCCTTCTTCTCTGTTCTGAAATCATGACCTAATGTCTCTTTTCTCGATCGCAAATCAGTAAGTAAGTTGATTTTCTACGTTTTTCAGGTTATGCCCGTTGGAACTGGATTCAGATCTTTCGGAATTCATCAAGCATGTTTATTTAGTACAACAGCTACTACCGGTGATGCTCAGAATTCTTCACCCAAACCGGATTCCAATGGAGGAGAAAAGTCAGGAGGATCGGAACAGAGTAGCAGTAACGAAGGCAAATCTGTTCGCGGCGGGGTAGTTCTTTTCGTTTAGTTTTTTTTTTTTTTTTAATCTTTTTTTTTCTTTTTTTCTGGTATAATATTGATTTCTGAGCCGATCGGATTGGCATTTGCAGCCTGTTTCATGGTTGAGCTTTTTCCTCTTGCTGGTAACCGGAGGAGGAATTCTCTATTATTTTGACAGGGAAAAGAAACGGCATATTGAAGGTACACTTCTATGGTGAGTTTTGGATATGTGTTTATGCCATGCTTGCTGAGTTGATACTGTCTAAGAGGGACAGAGCACTTGATTTAACAACCATTTCCTATAGCATTGTAACTCTCTTCGGTAGTTGAGACATGCTAATATGTAAAAGTTATGTTATACTTCAATGGTTGTGTGATCGGTGATCTATCCATCACCATGCGAAAGGGCATGTCTGTCTGAAAGCTGCCCACTTGAGAGCAATAACATAGTGATTAAAAATTATTCTTGAGAAACAGCAGGTTGGGTGCTTTATATATCCTCTTTAGTAGTAGCTGTAGTTGTAGCTGTTTTGAAACAATGTTCCATGAACGACTTGTTTCTAATATTTGTGTGATTGGGATTATATTTATCAAATTAATTGATTGATATTGAAATTTATTGGTGCAGAAATAAAAACTGTTGCACAGGCTGTAAAAGAAGGACCATCTGTGGGAAAAGCAGCCATTGGAGGCCCATTTAGTCTCATAAACCATGATGGTAAACCAGTGACTGAGAAAGACTTTCTGGGGAAGTGGACTTTGATATATTTTGGCTTCACCCATTGCCCTGATATCTGCCCAGATGAACTGCTAAAGCTATCTGCAGCTATTGATAAAATAAGTGAGTTACTGATGCTTTCATTTCACAGGAATCTAGACAGTTTAAGATAGAAAATGTGCATGGTAATTCTTTGTCTGATAAAGCAAATCTGAATCAGGTGTTCTGTTGGTAAAAATAATTTATACTTCTTCAGAAATTTAAGTTCAGGTGCTTATTGGACTAGCAACATTTTATCCATTGTTATTCCCCTCTGAGATTCTGTTCAAAAATTCAAGTCCAGTGGTATGCATCCATTTCAGTAGTCAACGTTTTTTGGAAGGGTGTTTTCTTCATCAAGTCAAAGATTATCATAATCAAAATGAAGGTTAAGATGAAAAATCTAGTCTAGTCTTATTCTTGTTTGGTCAAATTAATGATTTGGAATCATTACTCTTGGCAGGCTAATTCTGTCCATCTTATGAATCAAAAGGGTAACCAATGTTAACTTTTTGGTGTTTTTTTGTAAATTATAACATGTGTTATGTGTATGCGTTTTGGAATTTGGGGGAGGGTTGATCATTAATTTTACCCTCATCTTGCAATATTGACATGCTTCTGTGTTTTCTTTTTTCCCTCAATTTTCAGAGGAAAAGGCAGGGATTGAAATCGTACCAATTTTTATCACTGTTGACCCAGAGAGAGATACTGTTGAGCAAGTGCGTGAATATGTCCAAGGTACTTTGTGCATTTCCTTGCATCCAGTATTTATTTAAATCACTAACTGCAAACTCTTCTGGTTGAGGCTTATCTCTGTTAACTTTTCATATTTGCAGAGTTTCATCCAAAATTAATTGGATTAACTGGTAACCCAGATGAGATAAAGAAAGTTGCCCGTGCATATCGAGTTTATTATATGAAGACTGCAGAGGAAGACTCAGACTATCTTGTTGATCATTCCATTGTCATGTAAGTATTATCTCCTTTCTGCATGATTTAGCTAAGTTATATCAAGAGATTGGTGTTTTGCAGTCTAGACTGCAAAAACCTCAGCCCACTGATCATGGGGCTGGAAACACTTTTTCCTTATATCAATAGGTCGTATTGTATATTGTATTGTTATATTATTCTTAAATCATTGTTTCTGCAGTATTTTGCCTTTGATAGTTGTGAATTATGATAGGTTCTACCTTTTGCCTCTTTTTCTCGTTTGAGTTTGTTTTGAAATTAGTTTTGGTCTCAGAAAAATATATATTTTCAGTGGTGACTACAAGTTGAGGTTTATGGATTATGGAAATATTGATGGGTGATCAATGTCCATTTACATTACATTAGAACTTTTCAACGAACAACCGAAGAAGGACATTGCTTTCTTATGGTTGCATGTAGTCATAGGTGTTATATTTACCATTTCTCCTAAGAATATACCCATGATGTGCAAGTATGACTATTATTTACTTACGTTTGCATGTAATCATTTATTTTTCTTTGCACGGTCAACTTTGGATCAAAATCATTGCTTTTGACAATTCATTTATCCTCAACTGTTTCTGCTCTAATAATAACCTTCTTTTGTTTAAAAGAAAAAAATGACCACCTTCTTATGCAGGTATTTAATGGGTCCTGATATGGAGTTTGTAAAATTTTTTGGGAAGAACAATGATGTCAACTCGCTTACTGATGGCATAATCAAAGAGATAAAGCAGCAGAAAAAGTAGAACTTCATTTTTTCCATTTTCCCCATTCATATTGTCTTTGATCTCGGATCATCCTCTTCTTGCTGAGGGCCTTAGGATACCTAGGATTTTTTATCAAATACTTCATATTTTAGTTTCAGAAAATTCATGGATGTATCAAGAACTCCATTTCAAGCGTTGGGGCCGTTGTACATTGATGCAATTTTCAGGTGGCGAAAAGAAACAAGGGAAATATGGAATAAAGGATGAAGTGGCCTCGCTCCGTTTTTTTGTTTTTTTGTTTTTTTTTTTTGGAACTGAAGTTAAATAAGTGGCCTCGCTTGATTTGTCAAAGAATTATTTGGTATTCTAATGTAATACTAGTGTTTTCTCGAAAATCCTTAGCTAGTGCTAACCATGTGTTTCTCCAAAAATCCTCGGTCGACTTTTACCACGTGAGTCTAAATGTTAGATGTGTCACTTGTTTTGTCTAAAAAATAAGAAAACAGGATTTTTTAGACGATCTTTTTCCTTTCCAGTGGTCGACTTCTATTGGGATGGCTGGAAAGAATGTTTGTGAAATAAATTACGCCCCAGACAATATTACAAAACAAAGAGTGGAGTTTTGCAAAATGAGTTACTAATTGCCTTGGAAACCTCCAAGAACTTTACAATCACAAAAGTGTAATAAAAGTTACAAAATTTAAAATTAACACAAAATCTTAAAGCAACTAATCTAACATGAGATCAATAGAAATAAACAACATGCCATAAAAATAAAATTCACAGACAACAAAAAATGTAAAATCAAAGACAACGATTTTTACTATGCAATCCATAACAATTAAACTTAATTACTTGTAGATTTAAAATAAAAATAGCTAAACTACTTGATAATTAAAACTAAATAAGAAACTACGAAATAATTAAAGTCTGAAAACTTATATAATTAAATCTGAAAATTGAAATTAAGTAAACTGCATGTCTAGCTGTTGTGCAGAAACAAAAGAACAAAGGTAGAAAGCATTCAACCTATTTACATGAACAAATAATATAACTGAATCCATAAAAGAAAAAAGAACTAACTAAATCAATAGGGTTGACCTGTTTCGAAGGCTGAATTGCTTCCAAATACTTAAAAACTAACCTAAGTTGAAATCTTTGAGGAAAGATATGAACAAGGATTGAAAAACCTAAACTAAGGCTATGAACAAGAATAGATCTTGCAAATTAATCTGGAAACTATTGCTGAAATCTAGAAAAAAAACAGTCTGAAAGTTGAAAAACATACTCTGCGTAGTGTGTGTAGGGCAGGCCGTTCAAGATTGATCTCTTCCTCTTGTTTTTCTTTTCTTCAGTGGAGGGAAACCTTCTCCATGTTTCTCGGCCCTCTCCCACCATGATTGAGTAGTGGGGGTTCCATGTCTCGCAGCTGTCTGGCAGTTGACAGTTTTAACTCAATATTATCTCCTCCTAAAAACTCTCAACTTCTTAACTTAAATCAAACTCAAATACCAGAAGTTATTTTATCTTCTGCCACTTGAAATCCAGCTTCTTTAAAATTCCATCTAGGCCTTTAAATTGTAATCCAACCTAGTTTGCTGACTTTTCTTGATAATTGGGCTTCACCTTGACACATGACCTTACCCTACTGGTTTATTTTTAGGTGTAAACACCACGTGAGTTTGGGAATAAGATGCATCATTTGTTTTGTTTAAAAACAAGAAAATAGAATTTTCTAGACCATCATTCTCGTTTCTAACTATCTATTTTTAAAGGGATGACTAGAAAGAATATTTGTAAATTAAACTACGTCCCAAATGATGTTGCAAAATAGAAGGTGAAATTTTGTAAAATAGGTTACCAATTGCATTGGACATCTCAAAAACTTCAAAACCATTAAAGTGTAACAAAAGTTATAAATCTTAAATTAAACGTAATATTAAAGGAAATTATCCTAACACGAAATCAATAAAAGAAAATAATATATTACAAAAATAAATACTATAAAAATAAATTCACAGACAGCAGATTGTATAAAATTGTAGACAATGATTTTAATTATACAATCCATAATGATTAAACTAATTACTTGCAGATTTAAAATAAAAATAATTGAACTACTTGATTGCTAAAATTAAAAGAGAATCTATGAATTGATTAAAATTTGAAAACTTGTAAAATTAAATCTTAATCTAGAGATTAAAATTAAAGAAAGTATAAGTTTGGCAGCTGTGCATGAACAAAAAAGAGAAGGCAGAAAGCATTCAACCCATTCGCATAAATAAATAATAGAGATAAATCCATAGAAGATAGAAAAAATAACCAAATCAACAGGATAGACCTGCTTATAAGGTTAAATTGCTTCCAAATCCTTAAAATTGAACAAAAGTTACAATTTTTTAAGAAAAATACGAACAATGATGGAAAAACCTAAACTAAGATTATGAGCAATAACAAATCTTGCATTATATTCAGGAAATTATATTGAAATCTGGAAGAAAAAGTATGAAAATTAAAAATGCATAGATGCCGGGCGGTTTCTTCGTAAGGCTGGGCGTGTGTCTGTCTGTGTATGTGTCCAACTGATTTTTTCCTCTCTTTCTCCTTTTCTTTGCT